CCCTGGGGAATGGGTTGAAAAACGAACAACACATGACAGATGTTAGTCATGTTGCTTAATGAATGACTGAAAGGCACTCTAGGAGAGGAGAGGAGAGGAGAGGAGAGGAGAGGAGAGGAGGGGAGAGGAGAGAAAAGAAGAGAAGAGAAGAGAAGAGAAGAGAAGAGAAGAGAAGAGAAGAGAAGAGAAGAGAAGAGAAGAGAAGAGAAGAGAAGAGAAGAGAAGAGAAGAGAAGAGACCTTCTGTATGCGTATTTGGAGAGACTACTCCTGCAGTGCTGCCTTAGGTAGGCAGCAAAAAATCAGCACCAAAACCTACTCAGATGTCTACAAATAAACCACATGTTCCTCTGTGAATCTACAAACCATCTCCTAGAAAGAAACCCCAGGGAACACCCCCAAAAGCAAAGCCACTAATTTGTGGCAGGCTGATGCATGGGATGACTGATGCAAGAAGAGGAAGGGTCTAGAAAGAGCTGGTCACATCCCCGTCAGCCAACAAATGCCACACAGAGAAGGCTGGACAATGTGGGGACGGGAGAGAGGAGCATATCTACAGCTGGTTTCTCTTCGAAAAACCAATTTGCATGGCTTTGCTGTGCATTTTGAAGGCTGTTTACTGGCCCAGGCTTTGTCTCAGCTGAAATGTGGGCAGCATTTCTAACGAGGCCCATGCAAACCGGAGCTCCCGGGAGGCTTTGCAGCAGAACTGATTGCAAAAGATTAGCGCCAGAGCTTAAGAGAGCAAGAGAGAAGGGAAAATAATGAAACAAAATCTCTCTTTCTTTTCCTCGGTTGAGGAATGATGGGGGCTAATTGCTTACTGCTGGTGAGAAAGAGAGGCGATAGCAGCTTCTGCGCCCATCAATAAATTAACCCCGGCCTGTGGCATCTGAAACGCATTCATTTCCAGAGATGTTTATCTCTTTGTCTCCTCTCCTGGGTGAAAACATAATTATTGTTTAAACATGAGTTAATTCAGCAAGGTGAGGATCAATAAAGCAGAATTACTCTTCTTTTAAAAGCAGAGAAATCTCAATCTGGGACAGATGTGGACATAACTCTGGCAGAGCTGATGGATGGGGAAGATGCTTTGGTCATGGCAGGAGCTCTTGCTGAGCTCCTTCTTCCTAGGACTGCTGGGAGCAGCTAAGTCCAGCCACGGGCAGTCATGGCAATGAATAGAAAGAGCTGAAATCACCCATGCACGTACACTTTATGGCCTGACATGCAGTTAGGCATCTCCACCATCGTTTCTGTGCTCTGCTGAGCTTTCCCGATCACCTTCCTCTACTCTGAAATAAATCGGCAGCAACCACTGCCTGGAGAAGCAAACTCAGGAAGGAAAACTGAGCTACCCATGATAATGGGGCAGGCACTGGGCTTTCCTGTATGGTATTCAGCCAGTTCTACCTCCTCTGTCCCCTCCTATTTCTCCTTGCAGCTTCTGTCCATGCCTCTGTGGTGGCTGGGAGCTCTGCAGTTGGGGACAGCCCCACGGCTGACCCGGGCAATGCCTGCTTCTGGAGGCTGGCTGTCCCCCATCTGGCAGCCCCATCTGAAGCTGGTTTACTTTAAGTGCTTATCCATGCACCAGGGGCACATCCCTGGACCACTTCCTCAGTGAGTCCAGCTGGAAGGCCAAACACCACCCTACACCAACCTATTCTGGCAGCTAATCCCTGCAAGCTTCATCTCTTTTTTCCCTGCTTCCAATTTTACCCAGTGCATTGCCTGTTCCTTTGCTAAACTGAAGGGCATCGAAGTAGCTGTTCTAAAGGACCCTGGTGCCAGATGCCCCTGCTGGGCTGGGAACGAGCGTGCATTCGATGCAGCAGCACCAAGTGAAAGCAATCATCTCACCCATGCCAAGCACGTTGCCGGGGCCTGCCAGAGACACCCAGCGTGAGGGGCTGAGCAGTGCGGGGCGATCGCTTCAGCAGCAATAGGATTAGCTCTGAGATCACTGTGCAACTCTGGGCCGGTGGCAGTGCTGGTGGCTCCAGCAGCATCCACGGTCCAACCCGGCAGCCCCAAAACACCAGAACCAAAGACCCCATGGTGGGGATGGGCTGCGAGCAATCCCCGTTTGATGGCTTGAGCTATTCTGGGGATGAAGGCACAACCTGAGAAATCAGGGATGTTTCTCCTGCAGGGTGGCACCTTCTGCCCACAGCCAGGCATTCTGTCCTACTCCCATGCCTCCCCTCTGGGGTGACACAAGGGGCTGTGCTGGGGCAGAGCCCCTCATGAACACCCTCTTTCACTGCCTCTCTGCCCTTCCCTGCAGCAGGACACCCAAAACTCACTGCCCAAGCCAGCGCATTAGTGCCACTCTCTGAGCATCCCCCTGGGGCTACCCTGAGCGATGGCTCAGTGCCCACCCCCATGGGTAGCTGGAATCAGCGATGCCCCGCAGGTTGATGCAGGTGTATATAACATTAGCAACCTGCCACGGATGCAAAGCAAGGGAGCTCTGCAAACAGGGTTGGGAGTACTCAAATCTGCTGACCTCAGAGCCTCCCTACTCCCCCTCCTAACCTTAGGGAGCATCCTGGGCTCCCGCATCCCAGACAAACACACCCTTTGCTCTGCCAGCTCCAAGGATAAGGACCAATGGTGAGCAGCAGAGGGGTTAATGCATGAGCAGCCTTATCTCCACCAAGCCCGACACTGCTTTTATTAATTCATGTGGCACTTTGCAGGACGCTCCAGTAATCACCAGGGTGCACGTGAGAGCCAGGAGCGGGTGGCCGGCCGCGCTGCGCCATGCTCATGCTCACTTAACAGCTTGTCACATCCTCCTCACTCAAGTATTCAGTGCTAATGCATCTCTTAAAGTGCTTCATGAGCTATTAAAGTCGAGCATGCCTCAAGTGCATGATAAATGGACTACGCCAGCATCTTCCCCACCACTCCACCCAGTCCCTGCCACCAGTGGGATTAATCCATCCTCCCACCTCATTTCCACTCTGCTTTCCCAGCCCAAGTGCCTGGCTGGAGGGGGATGAGCCCTGGGGTGTGGTGGTGAGGGGAGGCTGCACCAGGGCAGGGAGTGAGCTCTAGGTGGGGGGGATGGAGCACACCCGAGTCTCCGATGTGGGGCAGGTGCTCCCCGACTTCACCTGCATGTGTGCAGCCTCTCCAAGCCAGGCACACCAGGGCGAGCAGGGGACCTGTTGCTCCAAAGCCCCTCCCCTGAGCATCACCTCCGTGTTTCCAAGACGTGCCCAGGAGGGACACACGGTGCCTCTGGGGAACAGATTGAGGACAGTCCTGGAAGTGCCCTTCTAGTCTTCCTGCAGCTTTTATACCCAATTTCCCCCTTCTTTCCCTTTTATGTTCCCCAGGGCAGAGCAGCCTCTTTGGCTCCTGCAGATGGGGACAGCCCTGCCTCAGTCCATGCACCCCGTTCAGGCACTTGTTGATGCACTCAGGTCTCAGCAGCTCCAGTTTCGAGCTGCCCCCCACCAGACAACTCCCTCCTGGATGCAGCCAGACAAGGGAAGGAGCAGGGACACAGTGATGGGGAGGCTACACTGCCAAATCCCTGAATTCTGCTGGATCATGGAGCAGAAGGTGACAGTCGTTGCAGCTCGCCTGGCCAGGGGCCTCACCCGGGGCTGTGCTCTCTGCGCCAGCGTGCTGCTGTCAGCCGCAAAATGTGTGGCCCTGGCCAGTGCTGGTGGGGAGCAGGGTTTGCTTCTCTGTCTAGACAACACATTTCAAATGTGTGTAACCCTGAAGTACCTGGCACTTTTGTGTTTTGTGCATCTCCTTGTGCGACAGGTCTGGGCCACCGTCCCCACAGCACAGAGGGAAGCAGCATGGTGCATCCAAAGGATGCTCTGGCAGCTTTGATGTTGGGTCCTTCAAGGCTTTCCAGGCAGTGGTCCTGCAAGCACAGCAGGACCAAGCAGCACTGCTTCTCCGCAGAAAGCATCGCACCACCACGAGCAGCACACAGCTCAGCACCCAAATGCTTCGAGCAGGTGCCCTGGGAAGGTGCTGGAAATGCTCCTGCAACACCACCCAGCAAACTTCCACTTTGTCCAGAGACCGGCTCTGTCCCCATGTGATGGGGACATGCTGCCAAACTCCAGCTGCTTTGTGTCCAAGCTGGCAGCTTCCAGCAATGTAAACCCGCCCAGCTGGACTTAGGGGAGCTCTGTGGGGCACTCTGGCTGGGATCCTCAATCCCACAGAGCCCATGGATGCACAGATATCCTTAATGGAGTTAATCAGCAAAATTCCCCTCTATAATCCACCGAAAGCAACTACAGCCAGACTGACTGCCAGGAAAGCCAGTGAATTTTGGAGGTCCTCCATTTTGTCCCATTTTCGCAGGGCTGCCATAGATGACCCCACAGCGGGATCCAACTGTCCCCCCCAAAAGCCCTCCTGCTCCTGCCTACACCGGGAATCATGTGGTGTTCTCCAGCTCCCAATGCCACCAGTGACTCTAAAATGTAACTTCTCTAAAGCCATCACTAAGGTAAACCTTGAACCCTCTGCCAACCTGGAAAGGGGCAAGCTAGTGGTGGGCACAGATGTGTGGTGGCAATGGGGACAAAATCACGCCAAGGAGGAGAGAGCATCCATCATGGCCATGGGGTAGGGTGTCAGTGCTTGGGGCTGTCAGGCTGCTGCTTCTTCCCACCTGCTCATCCCTTCATGGGTTGCACAGGGCAGCATCCAGAAAAGGCGGGGTGAAGGGATGGGAAGCGGTGCCTGGTTGTAGGGGCACCCTGGGACACACAGGGGTGTGGGCAGGGCGAGGGGCACCTGCGGGTGCTGGGGGGATGCGGAACATCCAAACCCCACAGCGGTGGGCAGGAGGGGATGCATGTCTCACAGAGAGGAGAAAAGTGATAACATCCAGAAAAGTAGTATCAGGCAAGCCCGGAGACTGCGCTCGGCTTGCCCCAGGAGAGGGGTCAGAGGAGGCGGCATTCACATTTTTCAGGACCCCCAAGGTGGGAGAGGTGTGAGGAGACTCACCCAGCTGGCTGTGTCTCTGGGCGTACACCACCACCACTGTGGCGAGCACCACGCAGCAGGCTGACAGGACCAGGTTAGCCATCTGTGGAAGCAAACACAGGCAGAAGCAGTCAGGGTTTGCCCCCAGGAGACCTCACACGTAGTATGCCGAGAGCTGGTCCCTCCTGGGCAGCTGAAGGGTGCAAGGAGATGGCCACGAAGTGACACTTCATCTCAGGGAACTCACTGCAAAACAAGGTGCTTTGCTGGTGCATGCTTCATCACTCAATAGCCTGTGGCACTTTCCATGGGAGCTGCCAGCACAAACAGGTGCCTGGAGGAGACGATACGCCTTACACCAATGCTGCATTTTCCTCATCTTATTGGCAACCTTTCGCTTAAGAAAGTCCGATCCTGGTGCTGGTCTCTCCTTAGCAGCTGCAGCATCACCCTAGGAGCAGACACCGCCTGCAAGTGTCTCTGCATTTTTGAAGAGATGGGAGCACAGCCAGGCACTTCACAGCAGCAGCTGGTGCTTAGGATGTGCAAAATGCAGTGCATCTCGCCCTAGCACTGAGCACTGTGCTGTCTGCCAGCCTGATGCCACAGCAGCAGCATTTCTGGGCATGCCAGGGACAATGCAACCCTCATCCATGTCTTTGTAGTGACTGACGGGTGCAGCATGTTGCCTCAGCCACCTCCCATCGACGCCCTGATGGGCCATGGTCGGCCCCCATCTCTCTGGGCTGGGAGAGCGGCGGAGGCTGCTCCGTCCCAGTGAGCCATGCACGGGATGCTGGGGTGCAGGGAGGTGTGGAGGGGGGGGCACAGCTAAGAAGGCGGGGAGGTGGGGACAAGCTGGGCTTTAGGAACAAGCAGGGAACATCATCCTTGAACCAATGAGCCTCCCCAGGAGTGGACAAATGGCAGCAACAACTGCAAGGATGCCCCATGCAGCTCTGCCAGGCTTGGAGGTGCCCAAGCTCTCCTCTTCTTGCAACCAGGGCTGGTAGAGGAGACCAGAGCCAGGAGGGAGATGCCGAGGACAGCAACAAGGATGCTGGCCCACCCGCCAGGAGGTGAACAGTACCATGCGTGAAATGCAAATTACACCTTCAAAACCATTTAAATCTTTCTAGTCTCCAGCACTGTATCAGTAACGTGCAGAGGATTGCCTTTTAATCTAGAGCATGAGTATGGGCTCCTTAGCCAGATGGCATTCATTTAAACCTAAATAAAGGTGTAGCTGTATTGGCCAGAGTAAAAAAATCAGCAAAACATATTCCATTACCCAACACGGCCATTGCAGGAGCCCAGATGGACTCGGGTTTGCAGCCGGACAAGAGCCTTTGCAGGGCTAGACGAGAAGGCAAGAACGACTGGGAGGGATATCATGAACAGATTTTGGGGTGCAGCTAGACCAGCCTGGCCTGGCTTCAAATGTCTCTCAACATGCTGGGGGAGAGAGGGGGTCTGAAGACAGGGAGCGCGGTCATGGTCAGAGAAAGGACCCGCAGCCTCGCTGCTGAATTTGCAGTGCTGGGTTTGAGCTGGGAGCGCTGGCAGCGAGAGCTGGCCCCAGCACGCTGCGGCTGCATAGCAAGGACGCGCCAGCCCCAGACCCCGCTCCCAGCCCAGCCCCAGCCCTCCCAGGTCACCTTGAGTAAATCACTCTCACCACCTCCTGCGTGCCTCAGTTTCCTGCCTGTAAAACAGAGATAATGAAGGTGACCTTCCTTTGAAAGCTCTGCGTGAGGAGCGCTAAGTGCTAATTACAACATTGTTATCATTCACTCCACTTCTCTGCTCCTGCTCCTCTTTTCCCCGTGCCTGCTCTCCCCTCTGCCTCCTCCACGTGTCCCCACCAGCGTGGCTGCCACCTCACCTGTGTGCTAGCTGCCATTGCAAGCAGCAGCTCGGGGAGCGGGTGATGGCCGGGACCCCAGGTAGGTGGCAATGCCACATCCCAGGGCAGAGCTGGCATGCAGGGCTCTGAGCAGATTGGGAGCTGCCTGCAAACCGGGAGCTGACCCTCCCTACCAATCCTAAATTCACTTCCCACTGAATATTCTCTCCCCTGGAAGCTGGTGGGTGGCACCAGGAATTGAAGCAGGCAAGGAATTGCACCAGGGCTGGAGCTCCCCCCGCACAGCAGTCCAGGTACCCCAGGTAGCACAGCCATCCCGCCTCTGCCGACAGTGATCTCTGGCCGAGGTCCCTGGGGGACACACGCAGAGGGTCCCAGTCCTGGCACAGACCTCACCACTCGACTGCTGGCGCCCTGCAAAACCTCATTTCTCCTCAGAGATGAGCTCTGCCACGAGGCAAGAGCTGAAGCTATTTTAGTGAGAAAAACCTAGCCAGAAAACCAACTTTTTCTCACTTGAATTGCAATTTCCCATGTAGTATTTGCTTTGTTTGCCTGTTTTGCCCAAAGCCATGTTGATTTTTTTTTTTCCAAGCACATAACAAAACATTCACAATTTCTGCAGATGCTTCTAATGCAAATTTCCATTTGCTGTATTTGCTCATTTAACAGTTTCTCTAGCAAAAACCAGCACCCCAGCAAGCAGGTGCACGGGCCAGCGAGCAGCAGCTCACCAGGCGTGCAGCTCCCCAGGCTGTGTCCCCGCTCCGGCAGGGACCAGTTGAAAGGTGATGGTGGGGAACTGCATTTATTACACAGCAAACCCAGCAGTGGGAAACTCAATCTTCTGCAGAAAAAGAGGTTGGAGAATATTTGTTTTTTCCCCTGTAGTGAATTATTTCTTGGTGGTGGAGAGAAAAGAGGAGCCTGGGCAGGAGTGGAGGGAGGTGAGGGGAGATATGAAATGTGGTGGCCTGGCAGCTCTGGAGCTGGAACTACCTCCAGGAGCCTTCCTCGCTGTCCCCAGCTTCTTGTTTTGGGAGAGAGCGACCAGTCAAACCTTTTTGGCCTTGTCCTCTGCATCAAGGGCAACCCCATACACCAGTACAGGTTAGGGGGTGACCTGCTGGGAAGCAGCTCTGCAGAGAAGGACCTGGGAGTCCTGGTGGACAACAAGCTCTCCATGAGCCAGCAGTGTGCCCTCATGGCCAAGAAGGCCAATGGTACCTGGGGTGCATTAAGAAGAGCGTGGCCAGCAGGTCCAGGGAGGTTCTTCTCCCCCTCTACTCTGCCCTGGTGAGGCCACATCTGGAGTGCTGTGTCCAGTTCTGGGCTCCCCCATTCAAGACAGACAGGGAACTACTGGAGAGGGTCCAGTGGAGGGGTACGGGGATGATGAGGGGCCTGGAGCATCTCTTGTATGAGGGAAGGCTGAGAGAGCTGGAGCTGTTTAGTCTGGAGAAGAAAAGACTGAGAGGGGATCTGATCAATGCTTATAAATATCTAAAGGGTGGATGTCAAGAGGATGGGGCCAGACTCTTCTCTGTGGTGCCCAGTGACAGGACAAGGGGCAAGGGGCACAGACTGGAACACAGGAAGTTACATCTGAACATGAGGAAAAACTTCTTCACTCCAAGGGTGACAGAGCACTGGGACAGGCTGCCCAGAGAGGTTGTGGAGTCTCCTTCTCTGGAGAGATTCAAAATCCGCCTGAACGCCATCCTGTGCAACCTGCTCTGGGTGATCCTGCTTTAGCAGGGGGCTGGACTAGGTGATATCCAGAGGTCCCTTCCAACCCCCACCATTCTGGGATTCTGTGAGGCCATTAGTCATGGTCACTCTTAGAAGACAACTCAATGCAGACATGAACATAGGCCTCTCTGGCAGCTCTTGGTCTAAACCAAATGCATTTCCAGTCCTGCTTTCCCTGAGCCAGACCAGGCTACATGTAAGTGGGATGTGGCGAGACCTATGTGAAGCCCATAGGCTGTCCCTGCAAGCAGGGTGGAAGGGGCACAGTGATGTGACATTAACTGCCGTGGCATGATGAGATGAGGACAGTCCCAAGGTGGGAAGCAAGAGCAAAGAGAATTGTACATCCAGGCAAAAAGTAGGATGCCACCATCTGCTGAACAGTTCCCGTGTCTTCTTCTGAGCAGGCAGAGGGATGGTCCTTTCCAGCCCCACCTTAAAAGGATCCCCAAAGCCGTGGGGATGCCCACTGATAATGGGGCACCAAATGGCAACAACCAGCTGCAAACTGCTTGGCCATCCTGAGATCACCTTCCAGAGCCAAGAGACTCTGTGTTGTGGCCTAGGACAAACCCAGACCTTCTCACGTTCTTGTGATTCAGCACGTGCCACCACAACCTGCCTCACGTGCCCTGCAGCTCCAGGACAGGGCTGTCCCAGGCTGGTGAGGGACACAGGCTGCAGCCCAGCCTCCTCCCATCACAGTCCCCTCCCAGCCACAATAAATAAGTAAAATCCTGCTCTGGAAGTAGGTGGCTCCACAAAGAAAAAAAAAAAAAAGTAGTTTCAAAACCCAGCAATTCCACGACAAAATCTTCTGTCAGGCAGTTCCCCACTGGGTGTTGTTACAGGGCCTGGCTCTGAAATGGTGACCAGGGGGAGAAAAAAACTCCATTAAGTCATTTCCTCCCTGCATGCCACCCCTGCAGCCTTGCCAAGAGCCTTCTTAAGGAGCTCTGCAGGACACACTGTAGACACTACAGTGTGCCTCTACTGTAGACAGCGACTGTAGAAGTTATGGTGTGCCTCTACTGTGGGCACCAACTGTAAACACTATGGTACCACCTCTGCTGCAGACAACAGCTGTAGACACCATGGCACACCTGTACTGCAGACATTGAGTGTAGATGTATGATACGCCTGTACTGCAGACACCAGCCGTAGATGCTATTGTACGCCTGTCCCGCACATGCTGACTGCAGACACCACAGCACACCTGTACAGCAGATAGTGATTGTTGACCTTACAGTACACCTGTACCGCAGATGCTGACTGTAGACACTGCAGCACACCTATCCTACAGGAGAGGTCATGATCTGCCTGTCCCTGAGGTGTGATGCTGTGCCTGTAGTGCAGACGCCAGCTGTAGCCATTAGAGTGCACCTCCTCTGGAGACACTCACAGCAGACACCTCCAGTGCCCCAGCCCCACAGAACACCCTTACCAAAGCCACCCTCAACTGCTCAGCCCAGCCCTTTGCTAGC